TGCAACAGCTTGCCTCCAGAAGTTGTGAATGCCCCAACACTGGAAGTCTTTAAGAAGATGTTGGATAGCCATATGTCTGAAATGGTATAGGGTAGCGATGATGACCTTTTTTGGCTCACGGGCCATCAGTGGGGGGAGAGCAGGGTGGGTCGTGTGTGGGCACCCATAATGCAATGCGCGCACTACAGGTGCTCCCCCCATTTTTTGCATGCTTTTTTCGCCCTCCCCAGTCTCCAGAGGCTTTATAGGAGCCTGGGGCAGGCGAAAACAGCCTCCCCCGCCCCCTGGAAGCCCTCCGGAGGCTTCAGGGACCTTCAGGAGGCTTCCCTGAAGCCTCCGGAGCACTTTAAACGACCCTCCCAAAAAACCGGAGACCTGTTCCCTTTTGCGCTGTGGAGGCTTCAGGGAAGCTCATGAAACCTCTGGAGGGCCTCCGGGGGGAGGGGGCGAGGGAGGCTCTTTTCGCCCTCCCCAGGCTCCTATAAAGCCTCTGGAGTCGGGAGGTGAAAAATGGATTTAAAAAAGGGTGAACTCAGCTGGCCAGCACGCAGGGCAGCGCCTCGCATGCCCTAACAAATGGCTCTGTGTGATGGCACACGTGCCATAGGTTTGCCATCCCGGGTATAGGGTTTCCTGCCTAGGCAGGGGGTTGGACTAGAAGACCTCCAAGGTCCTTTCCAGCTCTGCTATTGTATTTGATATATATATCAACAAAACTACAAGGAAGGCTGGCCAACGTGAGTGCATGGAGAACAGGAAGCTTTGGCCTTGCACGCCTGTATTTTCTAGATATTGTGGTAGAAAGATTAGAAACTTTGCTTTTGTTTTAATTTAGCAAGGCTTCCTCCAAAGTGATTATTTTGGTTAGTTTAAACTGCAGTTTACTAATAAGCCAAGTTATAAATCACCGCCAGATCCTAATCTTGTAGCAATCATCATAGTTTAAATGAAACATAGCCTCCTATAGAAAGTTCAGCTAGTTTACAAGCAGAAGTAACTTCCTAATTGATTTCTAAGGAGATTCTTAGTCATGTGAATCATGGGTTGTCCCAAACGTGCTTTTTCAAGAGGCAACTGGACTTCCTTTGTTTTTCCTTGAAGATGTTTCATTTCTCATCCAAGAGGTTTCTTCAGTTCTGAACTGAAGAAGCTTCTTGGATGAGAAGAGAAACACCTTCAAAAACAAAACCAAGAAAGTCCAGTTCTCTCTTGTAAAGCACCTTTGGGAAATTTCTAATTGATTCTTCAGGCCCACTCTAAAGGAGGAGAAATTAATACTTCAGCACTGCATGTGAAACAGTTAGTTGTGCCTTCCTGAAAATAGCCACCCCCAAACACATGTAGTAAGGCATATTGTACTCCAGAAGTTGTTAAACTACCTCTTTATCCCTGGAATTGGATATGCTGGCTAGGGCTGAAAGGAAGTGTAATTTGACAGCCTGTGAGGAGTTGCATTTTTCTAACCCCTGCCTTAAGCATTCCTATGTGAACCATCTAGGAATAGTAGCTGTTTTGAAGCTCTTCAGCTATTTGATGTAGTGGAACTAATGTATAAAATGATAAGCCAGCAGAAAACATTTTTTGTTTTGTTTTAGAACAATGCTGTAGTAATTAATTTATGTTTGGTGTCTTTTTGACTAAACAAGGAAAACACTGGAGGTTTTCAATTCTTGAAATCTTACTTGTCTACATTCCAACTGTATGTGTTGATCTGGTGTGAGGTCAGTTCTATATTCAGCATAGCCCAGCATATCAGTTTATTTTGTCGAAGCATGACAACCTTCATCCATTATGACATTCCTGATTCATATATTGCAACTATGGTATCGTTTTACTGATGAATTATATTGCAGGTCCATAATTTATGATCATGTTTGCTCTCTGGACACTGTTATGGTTTATAGTACCTGATAAATGATTCTAATCTCAATGAATTCAATAAAAATAGGTTGATGTATTCTTGGAAAAGCGTAAAGGGTCCAACAATCTGTTCCAACATTAATTCACCAATGACCACACTGACTTGAGTTCCTTGGATAACTCCCAGTTACCAGTGAATGTTCAAGCTTACAGGGTATAAGGTTAGAAACCTTACCAGTCTTAGCTTTAACATATTTTCCCAGTTATGCAGGGGTGAAATGTTACCAGTTCTCCCAAACCATTAGTAAAAAATGCTACAGATTCGCCCGAACTAGTAGTAAAATAATGTTACCGGGCAAACTAGTAGTTCTGATGAATAGCTTTGTGACAATCAGCTGTGCTGCATTATTTAGAAATCGTGAGGCACAGCTGATCAACAGAACTACTGGTTCACCTGAACCTGTTTGGGCGAACCGGTAGTTCTGACAATTAGTGCCTGCGGTGCGCATGCACATATGAAGCAAACTGGTAGCAGACTTCAGAGCATTTTACCCCTGCAATTATGTGTGTATACATTTCTATACCAAAAGTGTATCTGATGTCTTAGGAAAAAGGTTGGGGGTACACTTAGCTCTTCCTTTGAGATCAGCAAGATTCAAAGAGGGCTTAACTTTTTTTATGAAGATATTCTTAAGCTGAAGGAGTGTTGAAAATTGTCAAGAGATGTAGACATTTCACTGAGTGTAAAGTAAATGCTTATAAGAACTAAATAACCATTCAGGAAAGATTAACCAAGATTCAATCTGTTGATATTGTTTTACTGTACATCAAAACATTCAGCATTCATTGGCTTGAGTATTTAATCAAAAGGAAATATGAATTTGGCTTTCAAAATAATCAGTACTTCCTCTTCTTGCAGAGGAAACAATGCCTGTGGAAAGAATGCGAATGCGGCCATGGCTAGAGGAACAAATAAATTCAAACAAAATCCCAGGGCTGAAATGGCTAAATCAGGTAAGGCGAGCCTGCATTTGTAAGCAGTGAAAAATAAACCAGATCATCTTTTCTAAACCAAGGCTGCAGAGTATTCAAAAGTATGTTTTGTAGAGTATGCTACTACAGGCAAAATGAATGAGCCACATGCTTTGGACAGTTTGTTTTGTTCTTTGCTGCCTAGAAGGTTGCCTCTTTGTGTGATCTGTCTGTCTGTCTGTCTGTCTGTCCATCCATGCACAAAGAGAATTTCTTCTGTGCAGACCTGAGTCTTCCAAAAGATATGACGGCTTTTAATTCTCCAGGAAAGGGGAGCTTTACTTATGGTAGCACACTACAAAGCCCTCATTTCCAATGCTTTGCTTAGCCTTAATAACAAACACTGTGCTCACTTCGGTCAAGCCATTGTTTATCATTCTGATTTTATAAAGCAGAGATAAGCCAGTCACCTGATTCACTTGTAACTAGAATATTTGCCTCCCCTTTTTATGTAACAAACAAGGAGGTATCCAGTTATATGATCTCTATAAAAAAGGAGGAAGATTTTAATTTGGCTTTCTGAATGATACTTCCTATAGCATTTGTGTCTTTATGAATTTTGGGATAGATTAAATGGACCAGTGGGATTTGCTAAATCTTTCCCCTTAAGTAGAGGGAAGTAGAGAAAAGTCTTCCCTCAAGTAGCCTATAAAATCTAAAAATGTTGGTTTTGAAAGTGTAAATAACACACAGTACCTCAATTTTAATATTAATTGATTCGTGCATCATGTATATTATTTTGGGAGAGTACTACAATTTGAAATGATAAAAAGCTGTCTCATCAGCATCCTCATTTTTAAAGATTTAAATAAGTGCTTTTCAAGCTTGGTAATTTAAGATGTGTGGACTTAAACTCCCAGAATCCCCCCCAACCAGTAGCAGAATTCTAAGAATTGAAGTCCACACATCTTAAAATTGAAAAACACCTCTTTAAAAGTTCTATCTTCTCTTGTTTGCCCTCCCAGAACACCCTCATCATCTCAGTTTCCCTCTGTCTTTCTTCTAAACCCAATATAAAAAAGTAGATTGCAACCAACTGTGATCATTTTTAAGAATGCTGCTTGTGGTATGTGAACCAAAACAGCAATATTACAAATAAATGCTATAGGCAGAATCTCACATTGCCATTAAAAAAGTAAAATATTTAAAAATATATTCAGAGATCTAAAAGAGCCTGACAGCACCCAGAGATGTGTCCTTTAACATTCTGGTGATCCTGAGTGACTGATTGTCTAGCTTTGCTGTAAGTATCTAAGATTTACGTTTGTGAGCTAATTCTTTATGTGTCCTTCTTAATCCCTACCTCTCAGGAAAAGAAGATTTTTCAGATTCCTTGGATGCATGCTGCACGTCACGGGTGGGATGTCGAGAAAGATGCTCCTTTATTTCGGAATTGGGCCATTCACACTGGTATGGAAACTTATTTTTACTGGGTCGGTTTCTTATTGAATTTCTCTATTTTTCTCATTGATACTACTTTCTGTTTTGCTGTTCTGTGTGATCAAACTCATTAGTACCCTAAATATGGTAGAATAAGTTAAAGTGCCCTCTCTGTTTCAAATGGATAGAGCAGTAGTTTTCAACCTTGGAAACTTGAAAATGTGTGGACTTCTCTGAATTCTCCAGCCTGCATGGCTGCTTGGGGAAGTCTGAGAGTTGAAGTCCCTACATCTTCAAGTTGGCTATGTTGAGAAACACTGGGAAAGAGAGTCCTTGAAGTATAAGTAAAGTCACTTAAATATCAGATGTGTCCGTATGCTTTGCTCCTGAAAATTGATTTCTGGGACAACATGTGAGTAAATATGGACTATCAATGAGAAACTTGCTGATTTGATTGTCTAGAATAGTGATTCTCAACCTTTTCTTCACCATGGACCCCCTTTAAATATCTTTTGTGGCCATGGATCACCAAAATTAACTCATTACATTTAAATCATAACATTTCTTCAAGCCTTCACAGATCTCCTGTGATGACATTGTGGACCCCCAGGTTGAGAGCCACTGAACTCTATGTAGCTGTAGAGTCTAAAAGGTCTTGGTTCTCATTCCTCTATCACAAATATTTGAGTTGTGAAACCAAATGAAACTAAATCCCCCCCCCCATCCATATTCTGAAGGTGATTGGGCCCTTTGGCTCCACGTCTTAAGAACTACCACACTTAAATAGGGGGATACACTTGTGACCTACAAAAAGCATTTTGTTATATTTGGCCTTTGGGCAGCTGCAGAAAACAGTCAACTTCTCCAGAAATTGAACTCGGACACATCTGTAAGGGTGGAGCTGGTTCAATGGGCTCCAGGGAGTCTGCCTTGGGAGTGGTTGTCAATTGATACCACATCCACAGAGGTGATGGAACAACCTAGGTTCAAACCAGGGCATCTTCAGCTAATGCTGAACCCTTCTTGGCAGTGTGCCGCCCAGTTAACCCTTATATTTCTTCAATGTTTTTGATCAGTTAATGTTTTACAGGAATTGTTTTTGGTAGATTAAACCAATGGTGTTATAGACTTATATTAGAAAATCTCCAAAGCACCTGAAAGTTTCCAAAGCAGAAGGCAGGAGAAGAAGCAATGGATGAAAATTAATCAAGGAAAGAACCAACCTAAAACTAAGCAGAAATTGTCTGTCAATTAGGACCAATGTACCATATTTTTGGAGTATAAGACGCACTGGAGTATAAGACACACCAAGGTTTTGAAGAGGCAAATTAAGTGTTTGCACTCTGCAGACCTCCCAAAAATGGTCCATTTTTTTGTGAAAACGGGCACATTTTGTGTCAAAAAAAGGGCATGCATAGCCTTTAGGAGGCTTATAGAGTGCTCCTGGTGGCTGGTGTGGGAGGGGCAAAATTGAGCAAAAATCACCCTTTTCGCTCATTTCTTCCGTCCCCAGCCCCCAGGAGCAGTCTGCAAGGCTCCTAAAGGCTATGCACAGCCATTTTGGTGAAGGGGGCTGGGTTTCAGGAGGCAAAAATGCTGTATTCAGTGTATAAGACACACCCAGATTTTAAGCCTCTTTTTTGAGGGAAAAAGACACGTCTTATACTCCGAAAAATACGATAACTGCTTGCCTCCTGAGGTGCTCCAACACTGGGGGTTTTTAAGAAGAGATTGGACAACGATTTGTTTGTAATGGTATAGGGTTTCCTGCTTGAGCAGAAGATTGGACTAGAAGATCTCCAAGGTCCTTTCCAAGTTCCCTCACCGTTTTATTCAAACTGCTACACAGATATTTTAAATTAAAGAAAAATCCTGTATCATTTTTTCACAGTTCCTGTCTTTCTGTGGCCTTTGTTTGTACTGCATTTCCTTCCCCCCCTGTCAAATTAATCATTGATTTTTAAACCGGTGTTACAACAACAGTCTCTTCCACTTCAAGATAAAGTCCGGTTACCAAGAATTTTTTTCTTCCCTTTTTGCTTAGGAAAGTACCAGCCAGGAGTCGATAAAGCAGATCCAAAGACATGGAAGGCCAATTTTCGATGTGCGATGAACTCCTTGCCAGACATAGAAGAAGTTAAAGACAAAAGCATCAAGAAAGGGAACAATGCTTTTAGAGTGTATCGGATGCTGCCATTATCTGAGAGGCCTTCTAAGAAAGGTAAATGAAAGGATTGTGATAATTCGTAACTTATGGGACAGCAGCTAACTGCTTTTTAAGAGATTTCCCAATATATCAAAACTCCACAGAATTTCCACTAGATCAAAACAAACAAAGCTTACAGCCTCAATACACTTAGGAAACCAGAGGGGAAAGCTGGGAAAAGACAGATTAGACGCATGTGGATCAACAGGCAGGCATAGTCACAGGCACATCTACTAAGTGAATGCAACCATCTAAGAAGAATAAAAATAAAAATAAGTCTTTAAATTCCTCATTTCCATACTGAAACATCCTTCCCTTCATCTGTATGGATGAGCACAAATGGTCTTGGCTCTGTCAGCACTTCCTATGACACCATCAAATTCCATGGGTTGTTTTTTTAATGTTCTTAAAACTGATAATCAAAGAAGAAAAGGAGAATTGCACATGGCCCAGCAGATGACAGTTCTGAATTAATTCCTGGCATCCCAGGGTTTTTTTTAAAGTCCCTTTTCAGAAAATGGGAAAAAGTCTTTCATTGCTAGTCAAAATAGAAAACATTGTAAATGATGATAAGGACCCTGGCATTCATCCCCTTCTATCAATAATATCAGTTTGTGTCAAAGAAAAACAGAAGGCTCAAAACCATGATACTTGCTACTTGGTTAGTACTTCGCTAACCTCCCTGACCTGAATAATTAAACATGGAAATGAGAAAAAAAAATCACAAGATTTTGCAGAAAACTTTAGCTTTTTTTCCCCCTTGCTTTGGCAGGTAGTGATTAGAAAAGCATAATATCTTATTATTTTGGAAGACAACTCCAGAAACTGAAAAGAAAAACAATAATACCAGCTATTGTATTCCAAATGTAGAGAGGGATCCCATTCCAATATTTAAGTGGCTGCCACAGAGAGGAAGGAGTCAAGCTATTTTCCAAGGCACCTGAAGGCCAGAAAAGGAATAATGAATGGAAACTGATCAAGGAGAGATTCAAACTAGAAAGAAGGAGAAATTTTCTGACAGTGAGAACAATCAACCGAACAACTTGCCTTCAGAAGTTGTGGGAGTTTCATCACTGGAGGCTTTCAGGAAGAGATAGGACTGCCATTTGCGGAAATGGTGGAACCCTGCTTGGGCAGGAGGTTGGATCAGATAACCTACAAGATCCCTTCCAACTCTCTAAATCTAATCTAATCCTCATTGATATGGGGGATCTTGGAGAATAATGTCAGTTCTGTTTCTGCGTCTTCATATATTTTCAGTATGATTTAAATAAGTAGCATTTTTCAGGTATTATTGACCTGATTATTCTATTAAATTCACGTGAAAATCTTTTATTTGCAAATAATGGTCTTAATTTTTGTCAGGAAATGACTGTAAATATTTTTTTCTTGCATTTCTACAGGAAAGAAACCAAAGTCTGACAAGGAAGATAAAATTAAACAAATTAAGGTATTTTTTGTTATCATTTCAAGGCTAAAAGAACATGTCGTTTCTGGATTAAAAACATTCTGAAAAATTATTTCATATTATTAACCCTTTTTATCAAAAGGACTAAACAGACATTTTATTCAGTTAACTTCATTCAGATATAATAGTTGACCCAGCTGGAAAATATGCTTAATATAGATGGTCTTTATTTTAAGTAATTGAAGGTGAAGATTGATTCTTTTCAGGTGCATGGTTTATGGGAGAGGATGGTCACATTTTACCCTCCCCCACAGGACAGGAAGAAATACAATTTACTTCTTCCAATACTGCATTTCTAATAAGGAGTCTCCTTTTCTCACATCCATGATTATTGAAATGAAAACCAAAATGTAGCCGAATTAGGTATTGTCTGCTTCTGTTTTTTTAAAGGTTGTAATAATAGAATAGAGTGGAGTGGAGTGGAGTGGAGTGGAGTGGAGTGGAGTGGAGTGGAGTGGAGTGGAGTGGAGTGGAGTAGAGTAGAGTAGAGTAGAATAGAATAGAATAACAGAGTTGGAAGAGACCTTGGAGGTCTTTTAGTCCAACCCCCTGCTTAGGCAGGAAACCCTATAACATTTCAGACAAATGGTTATCTGATCTCTTCTTTAAAACTTCCAGTGTTGGAGCATTTACAACTTCTGGAGTAAGTTGTATTATAAGACACTCTATCAAAATATGTTTCTAACCATTGGATTGAGACCATTCTGCTGGCTCATGAAAAATATTGTCATTTTTCTTGGTTATCCAGATTTCTAGTTACTGAACTCATGGCAAATAGCATCATGATGGGTGGTGGTCTTTCATTCACCATCTGTTCTGTTATCCCAGGCGTTTTTATGGCATCACAAAAGTATGTGTAGCACTCAAATCTCTCTAGGAGGACACAAAGTGATAATTGCCAGCTGCTGCTGCATTACATAATTGGTTTTGTCTTTGAAAGGTTAATTCTCATAATATATTCTGTACAAGGAATTAAACAGGGGAGAGACTTTTCCCTTCCTCCTGTCTGCACATGTGACATTAGTAACATCCTATGCAATTATCTGACTGCACTTTCCAATGTTGATAGGCGTTATCTACACAGTTTCAATAGTATGTTTGCAGACTTCAGGAACAGAAACAGAAATATAGAGTTTTGCCATATGCGGAGGCAAGAAGCTTCCTCTTCAGGCAGCAGATGTTTATTTTATTGGAAAAACCCAAATCAGTTATAACTTCTTTTTTCCTGCTCCATCTATCTCAAAATGGAGGGTTTTATTTCTATTACTTTCTTTTTCCTTGGAAAGATATGGAACTAAAAAACTAAACCAAAGTGATGAAAACAAACACATAATTCTTTCTTGACCTGGACTACCAAATATATGATCACAAATTGATTAAGAATGGGGATTCCCCGTTCTTCCTTGTACATGGTGCATTTCTCACTTCCTGAGATTGGAAGAGCCTTGTGAACAAAGAACATATATTACAATCAAAGGGCATTTTGTGGGTGCCAGACTCAGGTGTTTTTGCACTGACGTTGATGCCCAAGAGTGCCTAATTAAGTTTTATGGATTTGATTTTGCAGGAAGTAGAAATTTTCTAAGATCATGCATTTTAGTTAGAAGAATCACTTGAGTTTATTTGGGAGGCTATGACAAATATTTAATAAGAAAAGTTGTTGGAGATGGTAATACCTAGGTTAATTTCTTAATGCAAAGCATATTTCTTAGAAGGCCTCAGAATAAACTGTGCATTGCTCTTCTGAATGCAGACTATTTTTATGAATAAAATGGCTGGTGTTTTGGTTCTAAAGTTGAACAGTATGAGGCACTAGTCTGCTTCAGCTTGCAGAATGCCAAATAAATGGTATGGGATAGGTTTAGCTGATGATCAATCAGGAGATGTCATATATTTCTGAGTGCCTACCAATCATATTTCCATTGCTTTCTTTCTAGCAAGAACCAGAGGAGTGCTCTTATCAGCTGAGTAATGGAACAAGTCCAGAATTTCCTAATTACTGCTTGTCTTCAACAATAAAAACTGAAGTCGACAGTACAATAAACATTGTAGGTAAGCAGCTCCAGTAGACTGGTGGTACACTCTTTTCCTTGTGTGGCAAAGTTCTAGAGCAGTGTTTCTCAACCTTGGCATTTGCTGGCTGGGGAATTCTGGGAGTTGAAGTCCGGACATCTTCAAGTTGCCAAGTTTGAGAAACATTGTTCTAGAGCAAGAATTTTGGCTTTTAAAGTTCAGTTTTCATACTGAACAGTAATATATCAAATGTATCATAGCAACAGAATAATTAGTCCTGGTTTAGTTAGGAATCTTGAACAAAACTCCTGGGAAATGGTAGAAGTGAAAAAAGAAATTTAACCCTTTATCTAGCAGTTATTTGTCTATAGCAGTGTTTCTCAACCTTGGCAACTTGAAGATGTCCGGACTTCAACTCTCAGCCAGGCTGGGGAATTCTGGGAGTTGAAGTCCAGACATCTTCAAGTTGCCAAGGTTGAGAAACACTGGTCTATAGATTTAGTCTTGTTTAGAGCAGGCCCATTAAAACCATCAGAGTGAGTTAGTCATGAGTCCCCCTAAGCTCCACAGTATCTGAGCACAAATAAGGCTGCGGATCAGCAGGCTCTGGATGAGCAGCCCTGAACATAAGATTTTCAGATTTTTTCTCATCCAGGCTGAAAAGAGAACTCTGACCTGAGTGGGAAAATTTTCACTTTGGACACATACTTCCCTCCCTTGGGGCTTCTGTTGTGGGAATTAGTTGTTTAGCAGAGTGATGGCATACACATAGGCACTTCATCCACTATCAAAGTTCTGAGATGCCCTCCCATACTGTATAGGTGAACTGGTTAAAGTGCTATTGTAGTAAAATCTTCACAGCAAGCTGATTGACTCCGAGTGGTGATGTAGAAAGAATCAGTCAGGAACTCATGGCCCAGTAAACCAACATTTTTATACCCACTGCCCATACGCCTTACCTACAACATCCCTTTGAATAGTGGGATTTTGTAAACTAGATTCTCTGACGTTTTCTCATTTTATAGTATGAAAATACGATAAACCATAATGCATTCAGAATCACTAAAAATATGCTATTAGTTCATATGATTGCATGTAATCACCATTATTATAATTTGCTGTCATATCCAGTTGTAGGAGAATCACACTTTGAGGTTGATTCCGGGGATCACATGATCGTTCCCAATCCTCCAGACGTTTGCCAAGTAGTAGAGGTAACAACAGAATGTGATGACCAGCCCAGCTGCATGAGTCAACTATATCCACTACAAATATCTCCTGTCTCCTCTTATGCAGGTCAGTAGCTTTGTGAATCTAGAATTTTTAACAGATATTTCCTTTTCTGCTTAGTTAGTTGGAAGAGATTTTACTGGTGCTCTGGGAAAACCATTGTAATCAACATAAACAATTTTATACTAAGAAAGAAAGCTGCATTGAAATCAAATATAGGCACTAAAATTGAATGTAGCTTAAAAGTACTTGAAATTAAATTTAATAAAACTCAGTGAATAAAATGTTAGTTCCTTAAAAGACAATAGCTAATTTGAAGAACATTTAATTTTCATTTCACTTTTGTATATAGTTTAATCTGTCTTTAAAAATGGAAATTATTGTCATTTATATGGACTTCAGGAATTCAGATCAGGGTCTTTTTTGTATTTCCCTATGTGAAATCTAAGTCTCTGTCTGGGACCCACCATATGTAATGCAGCTGTTTTACCAGTGATTTAACCTTGATCTGCTATTGTGCATAAAATCTTGTCATGCATTTTATCTGTCAGTTATATCATAATACAGCCAAATACCAATAATGTTCTGGTAAAAAGCAGTTTACTCGGATATCAGTGTATCTTTAGTTGAAAAAAGCAGCCAGAAGTCTGGAAGTCTAGATAAACATTATCAAGTAAAATAAATGTTGTTGTTTCTTGGGTATGGAGCTAAAACATTACTTGCAGATAAGCCAATGTAATGTGCAGAGTCTCTATGAACAATCATGACTGCAAATGCAGGAATAGTTGAGAGTAACCTCTTGACCCTGAAGCAAGTTCACACATAGTAGTAGTGTTCGCTTTTGGCCCTCATATACAAACAATTCTATATTTTAAAAAAGAAATTTATGGCTACTCATTTTAGATTACTTTTGCCCTCTGTTCCAATGGCTAATATAAACTAACTGGTTTTACATAAATCTCACTAGACTGAAATAGAATTATTTCTTGGATATGAGAAGGTGTAGCTGATGATTGTTAAAACAAAAATAACTGTATTTAATTTCTGTTTATATTGGCTATTCATACTTCTGAAGAATTCCTATTTTTATCCCTGCTTTGTCCAGCAGAAAGTGAAACAACAAATAGCATCCCGAGTGACGAAGAAAATGCACAAGTAAGTAAAACATTTCCAGGTTTTCTTTTAATATTACAAATAGGCTTTGTAATATTGCTTTTAGGAGTTTCGTTTGGTTTATTGATGTTTAGAAGTCAGTATCCTTTCTGTTCTTTGTAAAGGTTTGCAAAATGTCTTCTGACAGATGGAAACAGTGAACAATAACATTTAGATACTACTAATACAGTGATAGTAACAGAGATGAGGAAGGAAGTTGCATTAAATTTATTGCAGAAGCAGTATAAAAATGATTGTACCATTAAGAAATGGCAAATGCAAGTATCCTCGACTTACAACTGTTCATTTAGTGACCATTTGAAGTTATAACAACAGTGGAAAAAGTGACATGACCATTTTTCACACTTACGACTGTTGCAGCATCCTTGTGGTCATGTGATTAAAATTCAGATGCTTGGCAACTGACTCATATTTAAGAGAGTTGCAGTGTCCTGAGGTCATGTCATCACGTTTTGCGACCTTCTGATGAGTAAAGTCAGTGGGGAAGCCAGATTCACTTAACAACCATATTATTAACAACTGCAGTGTTTCATTTAACAACTGTGGCAAGAAAAATCATTAAATGGGGCAAAAATTCATTTAACAACGATCTTGCTTAGCAACAGAAATTTTGGGCTCAATTGTCATAAATCGAGGACTACCTGTAGTAGAATAATAAAGCCATGCTCCTTCAAAGGAGAAGTCCAGAGTGTGATGGCTGACCCATTATGACTGGTCTTCTAAGATATTACTGTTTCTGATGAGATTACTCTGTAAAGATTACAGGAATAGGTTTAAACATCTTAACAAGAGCCATTTGAAACTCTTATCAATAATAAAATGGGCAGTATTTTCCCTTTCCCTCCTGCTGCCACATGTGGCTTATGATCAAAGAGCAAATATGGTCCCTATTAAGCCACAGTATTGGCAAAATAATTTCCCCCATCTTCCTTCTGGCCCATATATAAAATATGATATTCAGGAATTTTGTAGCCAGGTTTTCCTCTCCACAAAAGATGGAATAGCTTTAATACAGGCATTAAATATATATAAAACAAGCAAAAAATTAAAACTCAAATATATATAAGCAGCAGCCAAAAAAGGAATATGATTTTTTTTCAGCCCATTGTTCTTTAGATATATTAAAAGCAACTCTTCATCATTACAGACAGCTTTTAGACATCAATGGACTGGACATTATATTCCAGTAGATTTAGAAGGATCAGGTTGGAAATGATGTTTTAGCTTCTGGAATGCTATGACTACTGAACAATCATGGCAGGTCCAGCAGAGATGCAAGAAGTATATTAATTAACAGCCCCGGCTGCTTGGAGCAGAGATTTTTTTAAGTTTCTGCTGCTGAACTTTGAAAATACCCAAAATTTTAACCATCCGTAGCTTTAATTTCCACATCATCAGGCAAAGTGCAGGTTTACACATAGTGTGGTTTGCTTTGTTTTGGCTTTGTGTGTTGGGAGGTCAGGCCATTTTGATTGATTCATCAAGGCTTGATTAAGCAAACTGGCCTAGCACAACGTGTGAACCCAGCGAGAACCTCCCTTGAGAACTTCACTGTAGTTTTGGCTGCAGTGACTTTTCTGTAAGGGATGCGAGAATTAGCAACTTCTTAGGGGCATTACAGCACCTGGTTTGGTCATGTTCAGCACTATGCAAGTCACATAGAATTATTCCAAGCCCACCTAAATACCTACTTGTCCAGTTTGTAGATTAGGCTGAAGTAGCTAAAGGAAAAAAGGGACGTGGTGGCTCAGAGGCTAAGACGCTGAGCTTGTGGATCAGAAACATTGGCAATTCAGCAGTTCGAATCCCTAGCACTGTGTAATGGAGTGAGCTCCCGTTACTTGTCCCAGCTTCTGCCACCCTAGCAGTTCGAAAGCATGTAAAAATGCAAGTAGAAAAATAGGGACCACTTTGGTGGGAAGGTAATAGCGTTCCGTGCACCTTCGGTGTTTAGTTATGCCGGCCACATGACCACGGAGACATCTTCAGACAGCACTGGCTCTTTGGCTTTGAAACGCAGATAAGCACCATCCCCTAGAGTCGGGAATGACTAGCACGCATGTGTGACCGGAACCTTTACCTTTAACTAAATGTATCTAGCTCAGAGCCAGGAGGCCATTTTCCAGACCAGATGGACAGACCTGGGACTGATATTGGGCAGATGATTCCTATCTGGCTGCTGCATGTCTTTTTTCCCCATCATAGGACTTTTGTACCACATGCAACACACAAAAAGCTAGGCAAATTCTTTTTCTCTTTTTGTATTTTCATTTATAGTGCAGTTTTAGCCATTGAATATATAAGGCATTGAACCTGGTGAATCTCTACCGAAGGTATAATTCTTATATGGGCTATCAGTGGTTTGCAAAGTACATGGGGCCAATAAGTCATCTCATAATAAAATGCAAAAATATAAACTTTCCAGATGTTGCAGTTATTTTGATATCTGAAGGAGTGGTATTGTATTGATGGATGCATACACAATAGCTGCTGCCTTGCCCTTGCAATCCAATTGTCTATGGAGGTACAAAGGTGCCTAGTCAACATGAAATAGCCTTGGAAAAGAACCCCGTGAGCCTTCCAAAGGATCCTGTTGTTTTCACATTTGCAAAGCATGCCCTTTAAATACTTTAGACAATCCTAAGAATTAATGGTTTGAGTGATCTATTTTGATACATTATATATCTTCCACTTGCTTCTTCTCATTCTTTGCAGCCATGATTTTATTGCAATTGAAATCAACCCCCAGGATAAAGTTATGGCCTCTTACTCACTGAGCAACAAAATCTTAATGGAAAAGTTAAACATCCAGTTTGGGCTTCATAGGTTTTAGTGCCTATTATCTTTTATATATACAAAGCTACAGTGGGAGGATACTTTTGTATAAACGTTTTTGTTATATCTTATTCAGAAGCTGTGTCTTTTGGATTTCCTGAGTTCACATGTGCTTGAACACAATGGCAGGAAGTTCTCCTAAACCATGCTGGAAAGCTTTTTACACATTGTACCTGGGATATGAATAACATTTCTATCCAGTCTTATCACGAGTTGCCTGAGAAACAATCAGGAAACAAATATTTCTTTTTATTATTGTAGTTTTTCCTCTTTATTTTTGATTTTTTTTTTAAAAAAAATCTGCCTGCTTTTTGAATGATCATTTCTCTTTTTTGTAAAACTGGGCCAAAGCTGGGTATTCTTGCTTTCTGCTGAACTTACTGTAATGAGAAAAGGGTAAACTAGGAGGTGTGTGATGGAACTCTATGGCAGGTTGAAACCTGCAACTTCTCTAGTGTGGAGAAAAATAATTTCAGCTACAAATGGGGAAAATTTCACTTTGCCCTTGCTGGATTTTTTTCCTTGCTGGTAACATTTGTTTTGCTATATTTGATATAAGATGGGAAGGAGACCTGGATTTGAAGAGATCTAACACTTAAATTTTCTATAGCAAGTCCTTGGCTTACAACCACTTGTTTAGCAAACGTTCAAAGTTACAGTGGCACTGAAGAAATTGACTCACAACTGCCATAGCATCCCAAGGGTTATGTGTTCAAAATTTGAGCAACTGGCATGTATTTCTACCAGTTGCAGTATCCCAAGATCATTTTGTGTTTGTGTGATGTTTATGACCTTCCCAGCAGGCTTCCAACCAGCAAAGTCAGTAGAGCAAAGCTGAATTTGTTTAACGACTGCGTGATTTATTGAATAGTTATAGAGATTCGCTTAATATTCATGGCAAAAGAAAGGTCATAAAATTGGGCACTTAACAACTGCATTACTTAACAATGAAAATTCTGGTCTCAGTTGTGGTTGTTGAGAACTACCTGCATATACTTCTCCATTAATCAGCTGTGACGCCAATTTGTATAGAAGCTTTATTCTGGTGTTTGGTAGAAAGCCAGAACAAGGTACCTACTTAATTGGGCACCTTGAAGTCTTAGAACTCTTTGAGCGCCCATGTATGCACATGCAGAGCTTTCCCTAAAGGCCCAGAGATCAGATGTCAGTGTTGGGACTAGGGTCAGTAAATATATCCAGCTGGTCCTTCCATTAGCTTATGCGTTGAGGAGAAATGCCTGTACAGCCCTTTTCTTTGCACACAAGCATTGTCCCAAGCAACAAAATCTATATGGCACAAATTGAACTTGTTGCAACAAGGTGCACAATTGAGGCAAGAAAAGTCTAGCTTGTCTTTCACACACCACTGCAAGAATTCTGTCCTTGTCGGCATGTTTGCTGTTTTATACAACAGGTGACATGAGCAATGTGAGATTTTTTTTAACATGTCAGTGAAATGCAGGTAATCATCACTTACAGACCACAATTAGGCACATTTGTAAGCAAAATGTCACATGACCATGCCAATTTAACAACATCATTTCTGGTTCTGGTCGTTAAGCATGGTATCACACAATTGCAGCTTGCGACTTCCTTCCAGCTTCCCAGTAACTTTGCTTGTCGGAAGCTGACTGCGAAGGTTTGCAAATGGAAACCATGTGATTGTGGGAGATTACAACTGTTGTAAATGCGTGCTGGTTGCCAACTACCTGAACTGTGTTCATATGACCAAAGAGAAGCTATGACATCCAGAGCTTTGAGAACTAGTTGTAAATCCTCTTTTTCAGCACTGTTTTAACTTTGAATGGTTGCTGAACAAATGGTTGTTAAGGAAGTAAGACTACCTGTATACTATCTTGGGTACTGGATTTTTGGCTAGGGGCTACGGACCAAGTTTCAAGTCACCAGTTGATCAAAGAGCTGTCTGGGTGATTTTGGATTAGAGTAACTCACAGGATTGTTCTTCTGCAGTTAATTAATAAATTAAATAAATACTCTATTGGAGTTAACAAAATAAGTAACTTAATCAATTCTTCTCTGCAGAGTCAACTTCAATGGCAAAAGAAAAACATTGGTGGGAAGCAATATTATAGCAATTTGGGCACAAGGAATCCACCTTACCCACTTCCTAGTATGGCCACCTTTGTGACTTCTAACCAACCTGACCTCCAGGTGACCATCAAAAAAGAAAGCAGCTCATGGCCTTCTTTGCCAGATCACCCTCTCCAACAAATAGTTTGCTCCGCTTCTACCAGCTACACTAGCAGGCCTCCAGATCATGAAAACCGGGCAAGTGTCATCAAGAAAACCTCAGATATCACTCAGTCAAGAGTCGAGAGCAGCTGAGCCATTCACCGATATGTTCCTGGCAGATGGCATCTTATGGCTTTGAGGAGCATATCTAGTGGGAGCTCTACAAATTTAAGGAAAACCTGGATAGTACAGGATATGACTGTGTATCAACTCCATCATTGGAACATCTTAAACTCAGGACTCTGATTATCAGAATGTCGGAGTTCCAAGATTACAGCCCAGGGAATGGAGGTTCACTTAGAAGTGTTTTGCCAAGCTTCCTCAAGTATCCCTACCAACAGTCCCCCAAACAGAAGCACTTCACTTCTTGCAGCCACCATAATGAACTCCAAACTTTTGGAAGGAAAGAGAAAATGTGAACTCGCTGGATATTTTTTTCTGCAGAATATATTGTTAATATGTACATAATGCAGCACTAGCAATATTGCAGTCTGCTTTCGCACCTTATTAAAAAAATAGCACTTGCAAAAAAGGCCTTTTATTAATTAATGGCACATTTAAAGCTCCAGGTTTGATCTCTCCGAGGGCTTTTCTGACATATGTAGCCTTGGAATCTGGAAATAAGAATTAAAAAGGAAGGTAAAACTTCCCATGTACATTTCACAGATTGTTTTGAAGAGTGCTTGTCTTATTTGTGTCTAATCTGCTATGCTTGAAATCTGTGTGGTACAAATAGAAGAAAATCTATTACAGATATATTATGCAAATTCCTAGGTTTTAAAGAAATTTTTCCCTAATTCTAACCAGAGTAAGCTTTTTTATTTTTTTATACAGTGGAATATTTTATTCAAAGTAAAATTCTAAAGTGAATATAATTGTTTCAAGTTTTTTATCTTTTCTACAGGAAATTTATAATTTTACAATTTAGTGTTTGGTTGTCAGCAGCTATCACATCTTTGTGGCACATTTCTTTTTTCATTTTCTCCCTCTCTTCCTATCTTTTTCTCTTTTTTACAATTTGTAAAAGTGAAATAATGAGTTTTATGTAGCAATCAAAATATCCTGTGGATTGATAATAAATATTACATATAGCTAATTTTTAAATAAATACTTGTCTACATTCATGAAATGGTTAAAATCATATAAGGGGTGAGTTGAGAAATATTGTGATGAGCAACAAACTTGAGCAATGAAGAGAGAATGATGAACACCCGGGCTCAAAAATTGTATCCAAACACGAATATTTAACAAAACGGCATGGAATTCAATCAGAGAATTATATTCAGCAGGTCCTGAAATAAAATGAATGCTATTTCCTAGTTTTTAAACATGAAACATGTTAAATGGCCTCACCAGCCTACTTTCAAATAAAATACTTCATATTTAATTCATTCATTACTAAAAGTAGGCAATGTATTATTTTCTTCCAGAATTTCAAATACATACACTGAGGGTTGTTAGACAGTTGTTAGAGCAACTTTAATGTCTAACTGGTAGACAACGTGGTAGCTTTAATTCTGAATTGTAATAAAACATAAAGGTTCCATACGGTTAAGGTGCTGGTTATGATTTCCATTTATCCTCTACAACCGGATTAAGAGATTAATCAAAGAATGGAGTTAACAGCATATAACACCAGCAAACAAATGTCAGGCATTTACAGCGGAAAATGTTTTAAAAGATACAAGAATAGGAACAAATTAGACCAGACATAAAACACCTTCAAACTTGAAGATTATACTTGGTTTATTTTTTAAGACCATTAAAAACTTGAGACAAATATAGAAAATGCATTTTATGAAAAGATATTTAGCCTAGAAATACTGAAAACATGCAAGGGGTTTTGTCTGGTTATTGGGATGAATGGGCATCGGTGGTGGAACAGATGTTACTTCCAGGGCCAATTTGGAAAAAGCATGGCTGTGTGTAGCAAAGTAGGATAACCAGACGCTTGCTCACACAGTATTGGACATCTCCCATTCAATAACTACTTTTGAAAAATATCTCTGCTTAGTGCACATCAAGAAATTTAGCAACAGATCTACCTTGTGCTTAAACCTAAGTTAGGATTATTATTATTATTGTATATAATAATATATGGTAATTCTTTAAAATAGTTACTTGAAGTCTGTGTTGGCTTTTGACTATGCACAAAAATATTTTTCACATGAAATGGTTCCCAAATGCGGCCTGACAATGTCTGGTGGTTTACAAAGATTGTTCTTAGTCTGGGTATCAAAAATTTCACAATGTAACATTCTTGTTTGAAATCTCATGTGATTTGACCATACTTGCCCCAAACCTTGCAATATTTCAACTAAGAATACCAAAATTCTGTGTGATTCAATGACGATGAGATCAATAACTATGCTTCTCTAAAAATAATTAAAGATTTCACATTTGCTGTGATGTCCACAGTCATCATGCGGTCTTCCCTGGCTTATTCAATCCTCAAAACTGATGTAGCAAATCTACATAAATGCAAAGGCTAAGAATTGCTCTTTGAATACATATGTTTTTACATAAACCAATTTTTAATTCAAATGTAAAAAATATCAACAAAACAATTGTTTCAAATGTTTTTCTATTTTTTTTCTATTCATTTTAACCCGAACAATCTACTTGCATCAGGGCTCAAAGTCAATTCCTATGTTCCTATAAAACATTAAACCTGGTTGCAGATTGTTTTGTGTGTAAATTTCAAGGTATAGTTTTTAACGCTCCCCAAATGGGAATGTTGAAATAAAATTTTGTTTTTTAAAGTAGTAAAATAAGCATGGTTGGTTTAAGAAATTCAGTTTGATTTGCTATCATTTGCATTAATTATCTGTTGATAGATTAAAAACTGGTGTGGTACTCAAAAAATAAAATACAAATAAGTAAGAAATTGGAAAGTAAGTCTTCCTTTGCAGACAACATCTGGCCATAAGTGTTGGTACCATAGATAAGTGTTTCCATCTAATATACAGCTAAAACAAAATAGGAACCTGATGCATGTGCCATGCTGTGTCATTCATATGCTCAGCCAAAATCAAGTTGTTTAATAGATCACATGATTTTAGCCAACACATTCTTGCACTTCCAAATTTCTTAAAATACTGTTGAGATGGAATAGGTATTATTATGCCAGTGATTTGTTTTTAATTAGTAATATAAAATATATATTAAAGCAGTTCTGGGAATTTAAAGACGTTTATTCAATGGAACGATTTATCCTAAGTGAAATAGACTGGTGTTCCTTAATATGTAGAAAACATAAAGGAAACTTTCCTGAATGCAGAGATATTTCATTCCTAATTATTTTGCTAGTTATTGCCAAAAGTGGCAGCAGTCACCAATATAAGAAGTTATATAATGGAGTAACCTCCGGTGGTGGGATATGACTGGTACGCCCCGGTACGGGCATACTGGTGCCTGCTGGGAGCACCAGGTACTACTCTGGAGAGCCCACCCACCCGTCCACCATCCTTACCTGTATTTGAGCCGATCGGGGCATCCGTGCATGCGTACGGCGCCTGCGCAATGCTCCGCCAAGCAGTTGGAGCGTCACAGGCAGTGAATACATATGCGTGTGCTGCGCACGCACATGTGGTGAATGCCCAGTCCTGTTGCACCATACCGGTTGCCCCGGGATCCGGAACCCATCACTGGTAGCCTCCTTGGGAGAAGGGGCCTCTCTAGACTATTGGCAGCTGAAGCCATGGGCCAGGCACCCACCACACCTGAGGGCCACATATGACAGGGACCCTGCTTGGCTCTATTTGTATGCCAGGTCATTAGTCACATGAACTGCTATGCACACCTATACCCCCGCCAGTGGGCCATGGTGGATGCAGTGACAGTGGCCCTGAATGAGGAAGCACAGACTGGGTAGCAGCCTTTATTGATGACCATTACATAGTCATTGCTGGGGTGAAATGCTACTGGTTTGGACCGGTTTGCCCAAACCAGTAGTAAAACAAATGCTACCAGTTCAGGTGAACCGGTATTTCCGATGATCAGCTGTGACGCACAATTTATCTCAGCTAGAATTGTCAGATATCCTGCTTTCTAGCTAATCTAAATTGCCTGGCATAGCAGATTCCACCGCCCCTCTCCCTTTGTTGTTCTACTTATCTTTACAGGTGTGCTGGGTAGCAGGCTCGTTTTACTGCTCGCAGAAGGTCCTGCACACGTGGGGAGATGGCGTATGCCCGCTTGCACACTCACATTTGCGAACTGGTAGCAAAGGTAAGTTGATTTCACCCCTGGTCATTGCACAATGGAGGTTTCAAATTGTGTTTGATTCCAGCTGATTATAGACAAATGCTTGCCTTCTTGATCTATCTTTAACATAACTCTTCCAAATCTATTCTGCTAATCTTTTTGATATTTTTGATCTATCTCATCCACTGATATATGCAAACTATAGAACTGCAGTATATGACAGCTTGCAAAAGAGAGTTATTCCTTTCTCCAGAAGTTGTTTTAATAGAGATTATGAAAGTTAAACAAGGAAATATTTCTTTAAAAATATGCTGCTACTCATCTGTGCACATATGCATATTTTCTCTTTCTCTCCTTTCCTTTCATGGCTTTATGCAAAAAGAGCTATGTAAATACAAAATGTTATCAACTTACAATACAAATTTACAGTAATCTTCTTGAAGCAGGCTTGCTCACTATTCCATTTTTAAAATTCAATTCCCTGCTGGCATTAAAAATCCAAAGACTTTGGACATGTTTTTCTGATGTTTCTCAATGTAAAAATGTTTTTTCTTGAAGAAAAAACATGAATGAGTAGTAGATTTAAATGATTTCTGAATCCCCATATCTTGCCATGACCAAGGCACAGCTACAGCACAATAAAACCTTTGTTTTTAATCATTCCGGCTGAAAGCCAGATGCCAACCCAATTTTAAATACTTGTTTTCTTTTTTTAAAAAATCCTTTGAATACTGTTTGTGTACGTTTGCAATATTCAGAAGTATTGTTTCTCAGGCAGTGTATTAATATAAACTTAAATATTTTCTTACGAGTTTGAATAATTTGGCCTACAAAGCAGATTTCATTTTTTTTTAAAAAATTATGTTTAAACATACAAATAGAAAAACATAGACATAGACTACATTTATACAACACACTGGAACTTAATGTTCCTTCTTATAGCAGTTCCAAAACAGTACGTACATTCTATGTTACAATATTTTCCCACTAATATGTTTCACTTAAATGTCACAATTTTTAACCCTCTTAATTCATTATCTTTTACTTATCTATCTAGTATTTTGGCTGTTTGCCTTGGTAAACTTTGTTCCTCTTAAGTGTGTGTGTGTGTGTGTTTGTGTGTGTGTGTGTGTGTGTGTGTGATATTTATATATATATATACCAGGGGTGGGTTTCAGGCGGTTCACGGCGGTCCCCGCGAACCGGTTGGTCGGCGAACCCGGAAGTAAGTAACTTCCGGGAACGCCGAAGGGTCCACCCGCCCGCCCACGTTTCTTTCCCGGTTTTGATGAGTTCTGCGCTTCCATGCATGTGCAGGACGCATACAGCGCCTGCGCG